ACGTAGGCAACCTCCATCTGGTTCAGCCCATATTTTTCAAAAAAAAAAGAGCATAAAATTCCGCATGTGCATAAAATTTTCCAAAAAAAAAAATACTTTTGGTCACCTTTTATTGTTTTACCCTCTATTCCAGTCGTTTTGCCAAGACAGCCTTAAAATCTTCCTCGGAAGTGCTGAAGGGCTTTTTTGTAAAATAGCTATTTTATCCATCTTTGTTCGCTTTTTATCATTTTGCCCTTATGTCCAGACATTTTTTGTCGAGATAGCTAAAAAACCTTCTACGGAAGTGCCGAAAGGCTATTTTCGCAAATAGTCATCTTATCTAGTTTTGTTTGGCTATATTTTCCGAGACAGCCTTTGAATCTCTCTCGGTAGTACCGAAGGACCATTTTTCGTTAAAATAGCCATTTACTTTATTTAGTCTATCTTTTTTTATTTTATTATTTTGTCCCTATGCTTGGCCATTTTTGCCGAGACATCCTTCAGGCCTTTTGTGGAAGTATCAAAGGGTCATTTTTGTAATAATGGCCATTTTCCTACTTTTATTGTTGTCTGCTAATTTCAAAAAAAAAAAATAATGAAAAATAGATCGAGTCCTATATTGTTTTTTTTTAAAAAAAAGAATAATTAGAATTTCATATAGTTTAGGTAAGTCCTGACCCCCTTTTTATCTTATTCTTAGGTTCACCATGAATTCTCCACAAAGAAGAAGTCAGAAAAGGGTAAGGGACGAGACACCTCCTATGTTCTTGATAAGAGATAAGAACCCAAGTAGTCTCTGTAATTGGTGGGCTGGTTTTGCTACATGGGAACGGAATCAAGTATTTAAGCACCTCAAGTTCCTCACAAATATCATGGGAATTAAGCCTAATAGAGATTTAATCAAGGCTCTAGTGGGTTTTTGGGACCCTATTAACAATGTCTTCAGGTTCAAAGATTGTGAAATGACGCCTACATTGGAAGAATTAGGTGGGTTCACCGGATTGGGGAGAGACCTTCGTGGGAAAAAGCCTGCTGCTCCAAGAAAAGTTGGTGTGAACAACTTTTTGAAGAAGTTATGCCTCCGCCAAATTCCAATGGTTTGCTTAAACGAAGGTTGGGTTCCGTTGGAATATCTTTATGACAGATTTGGGGATGAGAAAGGGTTTGAGAACTTCTCGGGCACATAATTCGTCAACCAATTGAGTTATGACGCTTGGAGGGAGTTGAGAATCTTCGCGTTAATGATATCATTTCTAGGGATCATGGTCTTTCCAGAGCGTGGTGGGCGCATCAAAATTTGATTGGTTGCGTTAGTCTCGTATTTGCAAAGTAGCGAGGATCATACCATTATTCCCATGATTTTGTGAGATATTTTTCGAGCTTTGACCCATTGCCAAGAAGGTGAAGATTACTTCGAGGGATGCAACATTCTTCTGCAGATGTGGTTCATAGAGCACCTTTATCATCATCCAATAGTAGTAAATTTCAATTATAATTGGCTGAATTACATTAGATGTCACACAGACAGGGCCGCGGGTTGTAATCTTCCAAAGGGGTTGAGGGCCTGGCGGACATTACTTGGTTCATTGAGTGTTGATAGAATCACTTGGAACTATTATTGGTTCCTTTCTGCTAGGGTCATGCATATGTCGACGTATCGCCCGTTCTTCATACTCATGGGTTTAAGAGGTTTCCAACCCTACGCCCCCTACGCGTCATGCGCCATCTAGGGGAGAGCAAAAGAGGCCCCCGATTGAGGACATACGTCCGTTCATGTGGGAATTCAAGGGAGAGGAACCTCCAAGGGAGTCATATGCACAAAAGGTTTGGTTTGGTGGTCGATTTTCTGATTTGGATGAGATGGTAGCTGATCGTGAACGCGGGGAGGTAAGCCTCGCATACCTTGAGTGGTTTCACAACCAGGCTATCCCGGAAAGGCCAGAAAGATCCATACGCCATGCAGTTGATTGGGAGGAGGGGATCGAGGCCAGAGTTAGAGAAACCGGAAGGGAAGTGGCACTAGAGTTCCAATCTCGTATAGACACTTTACAAGAAGATAAAGGCAATTTGGAGACAGCCATGGACGTACAACAGGCTGATTTCGAGCGAGAAAAGGCTAAGTGGGCACAAGAGAGGCGAGCACTCAAAGCTCAAATTAGGCAGAAAAAAGTGATCACTACCCCTCAACAAAAGGAAGAAAGAGAATCCCAATTCAAGGTGGTCCGTGATCATGAGCGCAGAGGTTTTGCTCCATTAATCCAAGGTAGGAGGGATCAGATAGGGGGAGTTGAGTCAAGCAAGTAGCGCCAGATCGCGTAGT